GAAGAAGGAAGGGCAAGAGTGAGAGTGAAGCCTTGAGGTGGTAACTTCTGTTGTTGTTTTCAGATCATCCCTTAAGAACAATAACTATCTCTTCCTTGTAGAAGAGCCCAGAACAATAAATGTCAGGATCTACAATTTCTGGCTAATACCTTTAGTATATGTTGGAATTATTTGTATCATCCATTCATTAAGCCTGAATTTGAACAAGGTAACATTGTTCAAAATTCTATTAAAAATAAGAAATATGAGTGACAGAGAGGAACATGAACAAGATAAATTGACAGACTCATGTATTAGTAAATCTGGTGGCAGAATATATTCCATTATACCTATATGCTTTTATGTGCTAGGCTTCCTAACTGAAGAGATGCTTGCTAATAACAGACCATATGCCAGGTACATAGATAGTGCCAGGTCAATATTTATCGCATGCATGAATGACTGGCCATGTGAAGAAGTACACATGAGTTTGAAAAGCCATCAATCTTACAGTGGCGGTCAGTTGCAGAATATTAAAGAAATATAATTCTTCCATTTCATGATGTCTCCTAATATGTAGGAAAAGAGAAGTAACAATTAAGTGCAAATGCACTGGATTTTTCCAGAAAGAGATTGACAGACGGTGTGTTCTTGAAGCAGATGATAAATTTGTTTCAGAGGAAAGTTATTATTTGGGGATGAGATAAAGTATAAATACAAAGTAGCTTTTTTTTCAATTCTAGTCTTGTGTTGAGTTTCAATAATTTTTTTTTGCCCCATTTTCTCCCTTTCTTACAGTGTGTCAGTTACTTTTTAAAAATCCTATTCTATCTTCTCTTGGGATATTTGCTTTATAGATCTGATAGCCATGTCTCAATTTTTTTCTTCCTTTGTCGGTATGATGACACCTGGACTTCTAGATAGAATTCAGCATGCCCGGCATATCTTGTACTTGTAATATCTGTCTTCCTAGAGGTTAAGCAGAGTCTTAACATTTATTTAAGTTTCTTCTGGGTTTTTTTTAAAAATCACAGTTTCATTGCTTCCTATAGGATCAATTATTATAAGGGAGACAGCTTAGCGATTTTTTTTTCCCTTATGAAGCTGCACATATCAAAACGTACATTTTGTTGTGTGTTGACCATGCGTTCAGGCTTATTGTCAAAATGTTTGCTGCATCAGGGTGACCCTCCCATAAAGTGGTGGTTGACCCCGTATTTGTCTCCTGGCCATGTAGATGAATATGGACGTCGGCTTTCACCTTTGTTTTTCCTGAAGTCCTCATTTTGGTCACGACGACAGAAGGCTGATCGTGTGACCTTTGAAGATGAAATAGATGTTGATCCTTCATCTAATGACGCTTTTGAACCAGTGTCCCCAGAATTCCACGGGAAAGAA